CCTGCCGACCCTCCCAGGAATAAATCGTCTATGCCTTTTGTTGCTTTTGCTCCTTTTCTTTTTTTTTTTGAATCAAATTATTGTATTGAGCCGAGGCATATATAACTCGGCTCTTCATCAAACTTTTATTTTAATGAAATGCGGTTTCGTTCAGACCCGAGTTACTCTTTTCGAAGTCCCTATACTTAGAGAAAATTTAATTTTAATTAAATTTCAGCTTTAGTTTTGGTCTCGTTATTTGAGCTTTTCAAGTCTAGATAATTTCTTTCCTGCACAACGACTTACGAGCCGAATAGTTCAGCTCGGCGATATGTTCAATGGAAGCACTTGGGATAACCAGGTTCCTACAAGCTGACCATTGCTTCCAATGTTTGTAAAAACATAACAACTAAGTGTAGGTCTATTAGCATAGGTCATACCACGTAGTTTTCCTTGGCCCCCATTTGACGTAGCTCGGTAGTAGTAGACGACACTAACGAATAAAGTCAAATTTTGTACAAGTCATTGGATGTAACGCCCCAAGAATTTCACCATTTCCAAAAAGGGACGGTTACTAAGACTACCTAAAATTTTCTCATAAACAAGAGAATTATCTTCACAACAATACTAAGCAATAAAGCTACCACGCTTCTGCTGTGCTACTCTGATTTTCAACACTCACGAGAGCTTGAACAATTAGAACAACAACACTAAACATTTAAGAGAAACTCACATGCTATACAGATAAACCATTTAATACCGACTTCACATTAACCAAACCCTTCAAGGAAACCTCTACTAACTATAAACCATCCACTAAATGAATATTAACATCTCGAATGGCAATGAAGCAAAAACTAATTCAAGTACGATCAACTTAAACAAATGTATTCATAAATATCATAAGTAGGTTACAATCCCGTAGTTCAAGAAGCTAACAAAATTGATGCTCTAAAAAGAATAATGAATCGGCAACCTTACAACATCCTTTAGACAATAAAACTAAACAAAACCAACCGCTAACCACTCAACTACAAGATTAAATAGCCACAACTATCCTAACTAAAAGAAATTAATTGCACGCAGCATAGCTAATGATCTTTCCGATCAAGCCTCCTCCTCGTGATCACCATCCCAAGAGCTAGCTCGATACCTGCAAACTGGAGGGGAAAAAGAGGGATGAGTACAACCACAGTACTCAGTAAGCAGCCCTTATCTGAAGGGTCACGTACAACAGCATACTTATCAAGGAAACAACGTATCATGCTTATCAAGAATCAACATATCATGCTTATCACAACTCTCGAGCTTTGAATAGATAGAAACATATCACAAGAAGCAGTTTATGCAAATGTTTAACTATACATGTACCGTACATGTCAAACTCATCCTTACACATTAACACGCTAGTTCTCTTTCTTGATTCCTCCAAGGCTTACTCCTTCGCATCGCATCGGCCCTTGCCATCTATCCCCAAAACCCAACACTCATCTACAGAGGCTTGGTGTTCGACCTTGCCATTTATCCCCAAGGCCTTGAACTGTGCATCGACCCTTGACCATTTTTACCCAAGGCCCCGATGACTTCACCATCTATCGGCCCTTGACCATTTTTACCCAAGGCCCCAATAGTATTCCTTCCAAAAGACTGCTCGCATCGACCCTCAACCATTTTTACCCGAGACCTCGATACTCTATTAGTGACGTATCAGCCCCCGACCATTTATACCCGAGGCCCTGACACTCACCCATTCACTTTCTCCAAGAATCCAACTCTCACCAGAATCTTACTATATACTTTCTTAAGCCATGACCCATGCGTCTTTCAGCTCACAAACACAATTCAGCATGCTTCCACAACATAAACAACATTCTAATGATGAGATGATAAACCAATCATGCTTTCACAATATAACCTTTCTTAACAACAGCTCCACAATGAGTTTCGTCACAACAAAGCATAACCAAACAAATTTTAAACAATTAGAGCCCAGCACAGTTCACCCAAAACACTTAATATCCAACATCAATATTCAATAAGCGTTGCTAGATATAATAATCACAAGAAACACGCCGAACAATTCATGCATATTCAGACAATAAACATCCCCACAGCAATTCTCAGCAGTTTAGCAAGGCAGAATTTACACCATTATCACCGACAAATATTCAACAACACTCCAAGTATACAGATTACCACAACCTAGAGCTACCTAACACATCAGCGTATCAAAAATAATATCGAACATCACAAAAACAGCACATTAGAGGTCATCTGACAGACATTAACGCACGCACACGCCCCTTGTCTACTTACTTTGTTATGTCTCAAAACTCTCACAAGAGTCCCTACTTGCTACTACGCCATGCCTCATGCATCAATAATTTCATAACAGTCCAATATGCGATACACCAAAATGATCATATGTAAAAACCAATCAATTTAAAGTAGTCCAACATGATCCAACAACTCCAACAGGCATCGTTCACAGAAGAGGCACAACCAACAACTTAACCAAAATATAACCGATAGATACCCAGCATACATCAAACGCAACTGATTTCTCATAAATCTTCAATATGCTTTCGAAACAACAGATTATAGTACCAGTATACAATTTTCATCATGAAAACCAATTAAAACATAACAACAATTCAAACATAGTCATCCAAGATTACTTGGTTACAATTTATTCACACAACTACATAATTTTTCCGAGATATATCAACAATTTTATCAACAATGACGTTTACTAAATTATAACAACGATAAGCAATCATGCAAATATCACACATGGGCACACGAGCAAACAACCATATCATATCAGCACACAACAACCAATCCCTCCAGTAAGAAACTACTTACTCAAGTGCCCTGACACGTTATTAAGCTTGCCGAAGGATTTCCTACACCATACGCAACCAGACTTAAGTTAGAAACTAACTAAAACCACTTTAGTTAAATCAAAATCCAATAAAAGTGAGTTGTTACCTACTACTCACACTAAGACCTCTTGGGTTAGGGGTGGGTCGACGTCGAGGGGGTTCGGGCTCCCAAATCTGAGTTCAAAAGGCCTTAAGCTTGCTGTTTCGATGTCTAAAAGCAATGGGTAACTCGAATCGACCTTGGTTCGAGCATGGGTCAGTGCCAAACAAATGTCGACGAGGGCGGGTATCACACATTTGCCTTCGAACAAGAGTGGGTATCACAAATGGCTCTTCATTTTTGTGTGGGACAATGTTGAAACTCATAGGAACGAAGAAAACGTCATGAAACTCATGCAGATCTGGGTTGTTCGGGTGCTAAACGTTGGGTGTCGTCAGAGGAGGTAACGGTTCTGGTCTCCCTGCAGTCGTCCAACCACTGGTATCGTCGTTTCGTAGGCTCGTCGAACTGAGCTCGGCCGCCGTGTGTTTGACCGATCCGTCATAGACGCCGTCAGTAGGACGTAGTTGAAGCGCA